TCCAGATCTGGCAACACAATACTACAGCATGCTTGTACATGTGTTCTGAGATCACTTGTGAAAACAAGTCTTATATTCCATGTGTCACTATCAACCTTTAAAATCAGCCAGCAACAAATGGTATGCCTAATTGCGACACTGGAATGGTATCCGTATATATGAGGTAATTAACTGAAATTAATTCCCAGCCCATCAAAGCCCAGATTGTTCCAATTACGGTAGAAAAAAAAGAATGGTAGAAAAAATAAAATAAAAATGTAAAAAGATATTGACCTAAAACATAATTTAAACCAATGTAATAACTTACATAAAGGACAGCTCTGTTCACATTTTCTCATTAACAATGAAACTTCAGATTCAATTATCACATTATAATTTTGGATATTTATCTATTTTATTATTTGTATCCTGCCCCTTTTTTTGTTTTTGTTTTTACAAATAACTCACGGTGGCAAACATATCCACCTTCCTCCTCTTATTTTCCTCACAACAACCATCCTGAGAGAGAGTGACTGGCCTAAGCTCGCCATCCTGGCTTTCATTGCACTGCACACTTATAAAGCCAAGATTCTGGTAAATTAACCAGAGTATTAACCATGGTAAAGGCAACATATAATTGTTTATATAAACAATTAAAGGAATTACTATAAATTTCCTATACCTTTTGCAGGGAACCAATGCTACAGACCAGGGGTCTCCAACCTTAGCAACTTTAAGCCTGGATGACTTCAACTCCCAGAATTCCCCAGCCAGCAAAGCTTCTGGGTGTTGAAGTCCGCCAGGCTTAAAGTTGCCAAGATTGGAGACCCCTGCTACAGACTGCTTCAACGTGTCTATTGCAAAATTGTCACATCACGAGGCATGCTTTCTTCAGAATTAACTTATGTCACACTATTAAAATTCCCTTGAACAGTTCTGGAAGGATGCAGGTGTGAATTACCAAAAAGTACCTTTCACTGTTACACTGACAGAAAACTCCATTGGATCAAAGAATATCATACCAGCAGGGTGAACAGTGCAGCTGTTTTTCTGAACTTTATTTTGACTATGGAAAGTTATAGATGTGAAAACTATCACCTATTAGTTGTACTGTTAAGAATTGCACTCTATATAGACAAATGAAGAACCACCTCTCCACTCAGCTCAGTGACATCAGCATTTCATTCAGGTATCAGAATTGCTATTCAAAGGTAAGGTGTGTATCTTATTATCATTCCTTGGGCTTGCTGGGCCAACAACAGATAACTTGTAGCCTTATCTATTCTGAGATTAAAATCCTAGGAGGAAAAAAGTATTTAAAATAAATTTCTAATCTACAGAATTGCAAACAAAATCTACATATAGGATGGCATGAATTATTCACACAAAATCTTCTATCGCAATCTACTAACTGAACAACTTGCTTACCCTTCCTGCAGGGTGCATTATGCAATATTGCAATTGGAGTAACAAAGTTATATGGCATCATTTCTCTATAATGCATTTCATCTCCAATTGATGCATGTGAACCATTGGCTACCAGCCTATTCTATCACAACTAGTTTCATATTTTAAGCTTCAGAAAATCCAGACTTTGCAGTAGAAATGCCAACCGACATTAGTACAGGTACAGATTAACAGAGTTGGAAGGGACCTTGTAGGTCATCTAGTCCAACCCCCTGCCCAAGCAGACCCTCCCATTACTGACAGATGGCTGTCCAGTCTCTTCTTGAAAGCTTCCAGTGATGAAGGTCCCACAACTTCTGAAGGCAAGCTATTCAATTCCCAGGTTGTGTTAATTTTTTTACTCTCCTTTCATTGTTCCCTTTCTTAGTTTCCTAGTTTACTGTGAGTGGAAACGCAGCCTACACTATGCCACTTAAGGTTTTTTATGATCTCTAAATATTATGTTACTCTACTCTGAGCCATGGTTACAACCATTGGCACCCAAATGGGGCTGTTAAGTTATGAAATATATTGTAACATCACAACACAAAACCATGACTTATATACTGAACTTGTGCCTGACATCAGGGTTCAAGTACAAAAATACAGATTTTGCATCAAAGGTTTTGTCTCTTTTAAAATAATGGGTTTTAAGTGAATGCCTCTTAATTATTTTTATTCTTGGTTGTGTCTTTTTAACTGCTTTTAGCCACCTAGGGTCACAATGGTGAGACAGGTTGCCACATAAACTGAATTGAATAAATTAGTGTAGCCTAGAGAATTCTAATTGTAACATTCAGGGGGGGGGGGGGAAACCAGACCAAAAACACAGCAGAATTAAGAAGTATTAAGAAGTGGAGAAAGAAGCCCTTAATCACCTTAACTGTTTAGTATCATTTCTGAACTGAGTGAAGGTTTTAAATGTTTTTAAGATACATAGAATGTCTTCTGACTTTATTTCTCTTCAATATGCAGTCCACTATTATAAACTTCATGGTACCAAATTCCACTCTAAGAAATATTAACTATACTTTAATAAACAAGAACTAGAATGTAAAAACAATTATTAGATATATGAACACTTTTCCTGTGTTGAATGGATCATTACTATTTACATATAAGCAATAGGATTAATATTTGCAGAAAATATCTTCAGATAATAACTTTCACGTTATTTCAAGTTTTAATACAAAAACCTCTTAAAGTACATATGTAATACATAGGAAATTGCTATCAGTAAACAAATCTTTGAAATTGGTACAAATTACTCACATGCAATAGTTTTTGATACAGGACAAAATTTGTTAATTCGTTGCAGTACATGATAATGAAAAAATCTACTTATTATGGTGTCCACTATTAGACAAAATTAATACAGAAAAAAACAGGTTGCATAAAAAATCTAGTTCAAGAAATGAGCTCTTTCATTACTATTCTATTTCAAATGTCTATTATCCTCAGCATGCATGTGTGCAACTCCTCTGGAAACTAAGAGAATAATAGTCTACTTATCTACATTATTTTTCAAGGAGAAACTGACAGTTTGTGCAAAATAAGAAACCTTAGCCCTTAACACTGCTTTAAGAAAAAAAATTATGTAACCAAATAGCGAAAGGAAAAGCTCTCCTTAACACAAATATGGAACTAATTCACAGATATCTATATTTGTCAATAGGAAAGTACCTGCAGAATACTGGAGACAGAGATTACATTGCATGCTATACACAAAGTTAGCTGACCCATGGCAAAAAACTGGAATGTTGATTCCAAAACCAGAAATGCAAGAATCTTCAGTTGGGGACTTCCGAAAAGCAATATGTGACAAAAACAAGAAACAATCTCCCTTTGTAAACAACACAGCAAGTGACTAGATATATATTTCCAGATATGGAATTCAGTGGTTCCTTTCAAGCGAGTAGTTTATTGATTCAGCCTCTGTCTTAACTTTTAATCAGTGAGGCTAATGTCTGCTAATAATTCTAAACCTGACAATTTATACATTGAAGACAACACAGTACACACATTTTTCAATAGTTTTCAAAGATGCTGAAGCTACTTTACCAATTCTGTTCTATTATTTACATTTGGCTAATACATCTATAAATCTTGCCAGGAAAACCTCAGGACTATTCCTGACAGTCACTAGGAGTCAACACTGATTTGGGCACACACCCACATTCCACATACACAAACCCCCCAACACCAGTGGGCCTCCAAAGGAAAAGAATAGCCAGGCCATATCCAAGATATGATAGGAAAGCTTTTATTGTACTACAGGCAGAAAAAAAGCTATACAGATTCACCAGGAAAACCACGCTTAACTTTGCCAGATTCATCCCAAGGTAAAAAGTACAGCATGCAATTCATTCTTACACCTCTGCAGGGATCCACAGAAACTATAATTTACAAATAGAAAACTGGGCATCTGAGTCAAGTCCACTAGAACGCAAAAACCAGCACAGGAGCTGGAGTGAGCTTGGATGCACTTGCTCAATACACAAATCATATTATATACCCTTTATGGGACTAGACGTTACTCTTTGCTTATTTAGCCAGCAGGGGCAGCATAGACAGACTTAAAACACAATTTTCCGGACAATTACTTGGAAGCAAGTCCCATATAAGTGTACACAGGATTTAGGTTCTGGTCAAACAGGCCAAGGAATGCTGATCACTGGATCCTCATTGCTGGGTCGGTTTTCAAGACTCTTTATCAATCATAACCTTATCCGAAAAGATTTCTTCTGCTTCTGTTCAGCAGCACTTCGGCGTCAATCGGAAGGATGTGTAAAGTTCTTGCGCGAAGCACACATTTCAAAGCCCTGAACCAAGATTCGCATTCAGACCTTCTAAATAGCAAGGTACCATAAAAGGTAGGAGGGAGAGGAGCAGGGAAAAAAAAGAAGAGAGAAAGAGAGAGAGAAAGAAAGAAAGAAAGACGGTGCGGTGCGGTGCACACAGCAATCCAGCCTACAGTAGCAAAGTGTCGAGAGCGTCTTTGCTGCAAAGTAGAGAAGGGGAACTAGGCAGGGGAGCGAAAGCGAAGAATGCGAAAAAGGGAGGGGGGGAGAGAGAGACAAGGACGAGCTTTGGGACACACGCGTGTTTGTCACCCACCAAGAAGGGGGAAGAGGAGATAAAGGCTGGACGCCTCTTTGCAAGCGTACAGAGACAAGAGGCTGCCAGAAGTGAACCATCGGAGGGGGGTTTTTTAAAAGAAGGGCTAAAGTAAGGAAGTCCTCCAAACAAGGCAGCCCGGGGCTTAAGCGGAGCCCTTGGAGTGGGGTCCCCGCCTGCCTGTGGCCCCAGAGCTTTTGTTTGGGGTTTCAGCCGGGAAGGAGAAAAGGGAACAACTCCAAGCAACCCAAACGCCACGGCGACTTGGAAGAGCGCTCGGCCGGGAAGCCACAGCGACTGATCGGAGGCGAAGGTGGCCGGTCAACGGAGTTCGATGGCGCGACTCCAAAGGGCCGGGGACGGTGTGGGGTGGCGGGGAGGGAGGGGAGGATGCCATCGCCCCCCCCGATGCCCCCTCCCGCTTCAGCCCTTCTTGTGCTTCCCAGCCTCCCACTCACCGCGCAAGTCTTTCACGGCCGCCCGGAGCCTCCGCCGCTCCCGACTGGGCTCTCGACCCCGGCCCGACTCAGCAGCTCCCGCTGCCTCCTCCGCCGTCTGTCCCAGCCGCCTTCGCGGCCGCCATTTTCCTCCACCGCTCCGGCCAGACTTCTCGGGAGGGCGGGGGGGGGGGGTTGGAGAGGAGGAGCGACCGCGGAGCCTGCGCGGCAGCGCCTGTGACACGTGGTCCGCTCGGGAGGGGCGGCCGTCGGGGCTGCGGAAGAGAACAAAAACTTGCTGGAGGGACGTTGAGACGGTCGGTCGGCCGGCCGGCAGGTCGTCTCTTACCTTGCGGTTTCTCCGAGGAAACGGATTCCGCCGGGCGTTTCGTGGCGCCTTTCTTAGATGTTGTTGTGCTTAGATGGGGGTTCGTGTCCTGATCCTGGGCACGTATAGGAGGAAGACGACCTTGCGGACGTTCCTCCTGTTGCAATTGTGTAGTAATCCTTGGGTTGAGTTGTGTTGAGTAACGCATCGGGACGTGTTTCCGAACCGACGCCGGATCGCTCTTGGGATTCCTTGCTCGGTGGCTGCAGCGCTCGCTCGCTCACGCGGGACTCTCCCGCCCTCTGTCGTTCTTCCGCTTATCTTGTCCCAAAGGTGCTTTTTCTCAAGAGGCCCCTGGACTTTCTGGTTTTTCTGTGAAGACCTTTCGCTTCTCATCCTGTGAGCTCTGAGCTGAAGAAGCTCCTTGGCAGAGAAGCGAAAGGTCTTCAAAGAAAAACCAGAAAGTCCAGTGGCCTCTTGAGAAAAAGCACCTTTGGGACAACCAGGACCTGGATGACTGAGAATCCCCATAGACATTCCGCTTCTCTTGTTTCTTGCTATTGTGTTTTGTGCCAACTTCTTCAATTTAAACATACCCGCGAAGGTATAAAAAAAAAAACCCGGAACGACCGGCCTGTCTTGCAAGTGTACTGGAAACGTCCTCGTTCCGCTGCTGCCCCTCCGCCCGCCTTGCCTCCCCTTGCTCTCCGGTGCCCACCGCCGTTTTTGCTGCGGAGCCCCCCCTCCTTTCCGCCTGCTGCTCTCCACTGGGGGCTGCTTCAGCCCTGGTGCAGATAAATCATCACTGCTGGTGGCAGTGGCATTGATGTGGAATTGAAATTCAATCTGTTTTAGGTAGCCGAACAGGTTTATTTTTGGATGTGCTATTGGTAACATTGAGACATGATCAATGATTTGCTTAATCTCGGTTTGTTGAGTTAAATAGCTTTAGTTGGGTTTGTGTCCTAACAAACCACCTTAGGGCATGAAGCCAATTTACAAGGTCTTTGCTGGATCTTATCAAGGTCTTAGGGTTTCATAATTTATGTGTATGTCAGTAGCAAGCCTAAACTATTTGATTATGATCTTGTGTCATCAAGTCAGGTTTGGCTCCTAGAGACCAGATATATTTCCTCCATAATGCTTTTTCCTTAACCTGTTCCTTCAAGTCTCCCAACTCATTGTCACTGTAATTAAATCCATCTACCTTGCTGCTGGTCATCCTTTTTTTCCAACTTTCCCAGCATTAAAGCCTTCTCCAGAGAGCTAGGTCTTCATATAATACGTCCTAAGTAGGATAACGTGATGCCTTGAATGAGAACTCTGGGTTGATTTGTCCAAGGATCCACTATTTTGTTTCCTTGGCTGTCCACATAAATCTTCTCCAACAGCAAAGTTCAAAAATGTCAATACTCTTCCTATTCTGCTTCTTTAAAGTCTCAACTTTCACTTTGATAGAGTGTCATAGGGACATTTTCTGAACATCGGGTGCATGATGCACAAATCATTCTGAAATTCAGTGGCACTAATATATAGTTTTAGATGCTGGCCGTTATACTCTTAAGCTTCTGACTTGCATATAATTTCAAAGACATTATGTCTTTGAAAGTCATCCGGAGTCACTGTGACTTGGACAGCCAAATAAACGCCCTAAATAAATAAATAGTGATGTGATAGCAACATCCATAGTAGTGAATGGTAGAACGATGAAAGCAGTATTACATAAGGCCTGCTGTTTTGTGCATGCATTGTCACACCACATATGTGCAAAGGGGGGAGAAACATACGATGCAACATTGAGATGCTGCTTTCATTATTCTAAAGAAAGCAGCCATCTCTTGTGGACACCCATGTGATGTAGCATTATGGCATGCCTTTTGTGAATGAATGTGTATGAAAGATCAAGTATACAGAACAAGGCAAAAATATTTGTTGTGGAATATTTCTGCTTATACAGTATGTGAAAACAAATGTGAGATTGAAAAATTCTAAGAATACAAAGCAAGACCCTGTTCTCAGAACAAAGATAGTCCTTGTGTGATGATGCAGTAACGTCTGTATAAAGCACCAAAGAGAAACTGATCAAGCTTTGATGGACTATTTGAACTTCGTTGTAAGTACAGTATAGAAATAGAGGTGGTTGCTAGACTGACAGCAGGTTCCATCTCCCCTCCGCCACTCTCTGTTCCCCACTCATCTTTTTTTATTAGTCAAATTGATGTATTTTCTTAGTTTTCTTTTTTTTGTTGTTAATTTTATTCTGTTTTGTTTTCGCTTTGTTTAAACTTCTTTTTTATTTCTTCGTTTTTTTATTGCTGTGAGCCACCTAGAGTAGCACCATGGCGACATAGATAGCAAATAAATGTAATAATAATAGATTGAAGCCTTTTGTAGAATAAGGTACCAGATAACTAACAATCTGAGCAGGTCTTTTCACACGTCATCCTTAGTGAAGCGTGCAAACCAGCATCTGCATTTCCTCTGTTGCATCCAAGAAGAGCACATCTTTCTCCTTCTGTCCTGGCCATTTTTACGTATGATTAAGAGCATTTTAACAAACTGCATCACTGTTTGGTTTGGTGGCTGCAGTGCCTCAGATAGAAAATCCATTCAGAGAGTGGTAAGGACAGCCGAGAAAATTATAGGAAGCTCGCTTCCTGTCATTCAGGATACTGCTTATAAGCGCTATGTGCTTAGAGCTCAAAGCATTGTTAGAGACCCCACACACCTGCTTCATGGTCTGTTTCTGTTGCTCCCCTCTGGGAGGAGGTTTCAAAGTATTTCTAGCAGGACTTCCAGATTCTGTAACAGCTTTGTTCCTTATGCCATCCGTCTGGTAAACTCGCAAGATTCGTTTTTCTCGCCATGCACATGTACACATCCGAACTAGACTGTGTTGTTTCTCCGTGTTATATAATATATGTGGGTACATGCATAATTTTGTATTTATTTATCTTGTCATGTTTATGTAGTGTATATTAGAGGTGGAGACCCCTTGAGAGCTGTATGCAACGAAATTTCATTTTAATGTATGCCTATTAGTGTACAAAGTGACAATAAAGTTATTCTAAGTCTAAGCAGTGAATGTCCCACTCCAATTCTTCTGGAATGTAGACCTAACCTGGACAGCTAACCCTATGTTGGATTGATATGCATAGGTGCATGAATGTATAAACAAATGGAGTTTATTTCAGAAAGTAAACAATTAAAATTATAAACCTGAATTTATTTCCAAGTATTTGAAACACTGAAGAAAGACGAAGAAACAGTTTAGGTGTGATAAAAAAAATACCCATTGTCTATGCTTTAGACAGTCTTCTAATATCCATAAATTGAATCCATTTCCAGATCTTCATGCAACACCACAATTATACTGTGTTAATAGATTTTTTGGGCAATGTTTAGCTTCAAGGTTTAGTGAGCGTGGTCCAGACAACAGATTTCCTGAAGTTTCATTGGCAATTGTGGTTACAGAAATCTGTTGTCTAGATCATGATTGCTAAATCCCCAAAGCTCAATACTACTCAACAATTAAGGAGAAATTTTCTGACAGTGAGAACAATCAACCAATGGAGCAGAAGTTGCCTTCAGAAGTTGTGGAAGCTTCATCTCTGGAAGCATTCAAGAAGAGACTGGACTGCTATCTATAAAAAATGGTGTAGGGTCTTCTGGGTGGGGGTTGGACTAGATGACCTACAAGGTCCCTTCCAACTCTGTTAATCTGTAACTAAAATTATTGGTGTGAAAACCTATACCTGTATATTTTTCTGTAGTTTAGTAGCAAAGGATAGGGTTTTCATATATCATTAGATGAACAGATTCCCGAATCAGAAATTTAAGAAAAAAATTCAAAGACTACTAAAAAAATACTACCTACTAAAACTCTGAAATTCAACAGTAGTTTTTACTTTGTTGAAAACCTTATTCAGGAGTGTATAGGAATATATGCTGAATCATGTTGCATAGCTCCTGAAATACATTTTAATCATTGCCTTGTAAACACATACCTCTTGAAAGTCTCACTGGGACCACTAGCAATTTATTAGCTGGAAAGACTATCTTCTAAATGCATCATTGGTTTTATATGCCAGTGTCTCAAAGTGCATCTGCAATACGTGGCTAGAAAATTTCTAGCTAAGCCATGCCTGTGGTTTGTAACAAAGATGAAGGCTCCTTCATGTTGAATGCTGCTATTAAATAACTGAAGAAAGTGCCTCATACTCTTAAAAGCGTGCAAACTGCCATTTTGATTCAGTACACAACACACTGTCTGCACAGAATTAAGGAGTATGAATTTGTTCTGAAAAGTAAAATGATAGCTGGAATCTTTCTTGATGCCATAAACCTAAACAGAACAACTCTACCAATGTAATATTTTATTTCAGTCACCTGAACTGTGTTGGATGCTTTTTTTTACTGGATAGCTAAAAGTTCACATTTTAAGGGAACATGTTAGAGCAAGGAAAACTGTTCCAGCTCTTCAGTATATTCAATAGTGATGGTACATTTTAATAAAATAATACTTCAAGGTGCAATTGCTAAATATTTCCTTCCTTGCATGATTCTGCTACCTTTATTATTATAGTGGAATAGATTTTCAGTAGATGGCTACTTCTACTTCTCTATACCAATGACTCAGCCTTTGATTGGATTTATACAGTTCTGAATAAATAAACCCACAATTCATAGCTGGCACTATACATTAAATAATAAACTGGCTTACAAATTACCAATAGCACATTAAATCAAAACTATCCATTATTACTGCAGGAATGCTTTACCTTTGTGGGCTGGTAGACACATTTGGAATTTTGAGAGCATATTGG